CTTCCGTTCTTTCTCTGTCAAGTTTTTAATTTCAGTTATTGTTATTTTTCAGTTCTTTTTTTAAATAATATTTTAAAATATTTTATTTATTTCTGAGAGAGAGAGAGAGACATCATGAGCAGGGGAAGGTCATAGAGAGAGAGGGAGATACAGAATCTGAAGCAGGCTCCAGGCTCTGAGCTGTCAGCACAGAGCCCAATGCGGGGCTCAAACCCACGAACCGTGAGATCATGACCTGAGCCGAAGTCGGACACTTAACCGACTAAGCCACCCAGGTGCTCCTGTTATTTTTCAGTTCTAACAACTCCCTTTTATTCTTCTTTATACTTTGATTTCTTTGCTGAGACTTTTTTTTTTCATTTGCTTCCAGCTTGTTATGGTTGCTCATTGAATAACTTTTATATCAGCTGCTTAAAAACTCTTGTCAGATAATCTTCACACCTGTGTCGTTTTGTGTTGGGGTCAGATGACTGTCTTTTCTCATTATGGTTGATTCACTTACCTCCAGACTCATAATTGAGCCATCTATAGGAATGTTCTCAGTCTTCAGTAATAAGGTTTTCCATGATTGTTTTAAACGATAAATTGAGTAGTTATAACTCAGAATTTGCTAATCTGTGGCCTGAACGGACCCGAGTTCTGTGTTATTCTCCTCACTGTACGGTTTTGGTACATAATTATCTTTCTCTTAGTCTATATTTCCTTCCAGTGCAGTCACCAAGCAGATTCTCATCATCTTTTTGTGTTGGCCTTCGCATTTTTGTGTATCCCATGTTGTCCTTTTTTTTTTCTTGTATGGATTGTGCTTTTCGTTTTATATCTAAGAAATCCTTACCAAACTCAGGGTCACAAAAGATGATCTCTTGTTTTCTTCTAGTTTTGGGTTTTACATTTAAGTTTTTAATTAATTCATGTAAGTTTTATATGTGAGGCAAGATATGGATTAAAGTTCTCTGTTTTTATATACGGATTTTCAGTTTTTCCAGCACTAACTGTTGAAAAGCCTATTATATTTTTTTAAATATTTATTTATTTTTGAGGGAGAGAGAGAGAGAGAGACAGAGTAGAAGCAGGGAAGGGGCAGAGAGAGAGGGAGACGCAGAATCCGAAGTGGGTTCCAGGCTCTGAGCTGTCAGCACAGAGCCTGACCCGAGTCTCAAACTCATGAACCGCAAGAGTGTGACCTGAGCTGAAGTCAGACTCTTAACCAACTGAGCCACCCAGGTGCCCCAGAAAAGGCTATTACTTTTTTAATTAATTAGTTTTTTATGGTGCAAAAAGGTGGTTTCATTAAAGCAGGGAGACAGGATCTGTGGGCTGAAAGAGCTGCACTTGGGATTGTGAGGAGTGACTGATTATATACTTCCTGTGGAGGGAGGGGCGAGGGTAGAGAAAACCTAAACAGAAATTTACTGAAAGTGGAGTACTGGACCTTGAAGGTCTGTCTGTCTGTCAAGATAAGGTGGTTTTAGTCTTTAATAAAACATCAACATTAAGCCAGCCATGAGTTCTCTGATGAATCTTTTTTTTTTTTAATTATTAAGTAAATCTAGGCCTAACGTGGGGCTTGATCTCACGACCCCAAGATCAAGAGTCGCACGCTCTACCGACTGAACCAGGCAGGCACCCTGAAAAGGCTATAATTTTTTTTTAATGCATTTATATGTTTGTTGAGATTTTACAAAACTGTGGTCTGTTCCTGGATTCTCTAATCCTGTTCCATTTATCTCTGTCTGTCCTTTTACCAGTATCCCACTGTCTTGGTAACTGTAAGCCTTGAAATTGAGTACTCTGAATCTTTCAGTGTTTTTCTTTTTTGAAATTGTTTTGGCTGTCTTAGTTCCTTTGCTTTTCCAAATAAATTTGAAAATCAGGGTGTTGATTTCTACAGACGAGCCTACTGGGCTTTGGGGATTGCATCGAGTATAAGATCCGTGGGGAGATTAACATTATTACAGTACCGGGTTCTCTATCTCTCCATTTACATGTGTTGTCTTTAATTCTTTACATCAGTGTTTTACGGTTTTTAGCATACAAATCTTGCACATATTTTGTAAGATTTATATGCCTAAATGTTTTATGTCTTTTAAAAAATTCAATTTCCAACTTACTATTACTGATATATGGATGCAGTTGCTAAACCCATTTAGTTTGTGTTGTTCGGGGTTCTATATTTTTACTGATTTCATTTCCTCCTCCTTTAAAATCAATAATGGAAATAAGGACATTAAAATTTTCAGCTCTAATTGTGAATTGATTTGCCCTCAGAGTTCTACCATATTTCGCTTTGTGTCTTTTAAAGCTCTGTTGATAGGTACATACATAATTGAGACTCTTAGGTCTTTTTGGTGTGTTGACCTGTTTATCATTACGCCGTGTCACTCCTCAGTCCTAGTAACATTTCTTGTTCTGATGTCTCCTTTGTTCAGTAAAAGCATAGGCTCTGTAGCCCTCCTTTAATTAGTGCTTGTATGGCATTTTAAATACTTTTTTAAACTTTTTTGTCTTTATATTTTTCTCGGGTGTCTTGTGGACTGCATATAGTAGGGTTTGCTATTTTGTGCATTCTCTGTCTTCTAATCAGTGCATCTGTACTGCCCTCAGTCACTGCACAGAAGGAAATACAAACAGATCTCTAGTTGTTTCTTCTTTCCTCTTTTTTTTTTTTTTTTGCTGTTGGATTATTTTAATATTCAATTTATCTACACTGTTGGCTTATCATTTATACTCTAAAAACTCTATTAGTTGCCCTGAGGTTTCAATACAATCTTCAATTAATCTTTAAATAATATTCCCCTGCTTCAGGTGTACTGTAGGAACCCTATGGCAGTATTTTCCTGTCTATTAATCATATTTATTTCAAATTCCTTTTCTAGTTGTTTCTGTGTCTGGTTCGTCTCTGAGTCTGGCACTGTTGATTAGCACCCACTGTGGACTTTTGGTTTCCTTTGCTTGGACTTTGTCATTTCCGATTCAGTGTTGGACATTGTGTCAGGGCCGTCGAGCAAACTTTTTCTGTAATGGGTCGGATAGTAAATATTTTAAGCTTTCAGACTATATGTGGTTTCTGCCGCATATTCTTCTTCTCCCTCTCTTTCTCTTTTTAAAGTAACTCTTTAAAATGTAAAAGTTACTCTTAGCCCACAGCCTGCACAGACATGGTTTCTGGGCTGCATTTGGCCCCTGGGCCGTAGTGTGCCAGGCTCTGTGGCACAGAATGATGTAATGGTGTTTACTCGTGGGCACGGCCTCTTACTCCGCTGGGCCGCCCGTGGGGGTGAGATGGGTGTGGGTTTGTTGTTGCTGTGCTTGCCTTCCGCGTACCCCTGGCTTCAGATTCCTGTCTTTCCCTTGTGCCGAGGATGAGGGCTGAGTCGCCCAAGCGTCCTGCTCCACCCCGAGCTGTTGGCCTTGCCTTGTATCTGTGTTCTCGGGCGTCTCCTTCCTCCTTTGGCTCCTCCCCTAGCCTGTAGACTGCTCGTGCGGGCTGCTGGGTGTGTGCTGGACTGACGCTGGAGGGCGAGGGGAATCCTTTGTCCATTGGCTGAGTTCCTGCCCATCTGTGTGTGGGTGGAGGGGCCTTCCCAGTGATCCTGCACACTTCCAGGTGGCGGCCATGCTCTTCCCCGGGTCTCGGGAGGGCCCCGTACTAGGAACAGTTGCTCTCCCCTCCCCCAAAGCAGCACTGTGATGGCCTGTGCCTGGGTACGTCACCATGCCCTGGGGGCCCTGGGTCAACAGCAGAAGCCTCTGGCAGCCTTGGTGTGTGGGTTCCCACTGAGGACTGATTTAGTTCACTCTTTCAGTCCACTTCCTTCTTGAAAGGTGTAAGTATGGTGGTAGGCAAGAGGTTCCAATTCAATCAAGAAGTGAATGGATGGCAGGAGCGCCTGGGTGGCTCAGTTGGTTAAGCGTCCGACTTCAGCTCAGGTCATGATCTCACGATTGGTGGGTTTGAGCCCCGTGTCAGGCTCTGTGCTGACAGGTTGGAGCCCGGAGCTCCTTTGTATTCTGTGTCTTGCTCTTTCTCTGCCCCTTTCCCGCCCACATTCTCTCTCTCTCTCTCTCTCTCTCTCTCTCTCTCTCTCTCTCTCTCTCCCTCCCCCCCCTCTCAAAAATAAAATAAACACTGAAAAAAAAAAAAGTGAATCAATGGCAGATTAAAGTTTCCCAATAGGGAGATGTAGGAGGGAGAGCTTGTAACCAAGCTACATGTTGGTTAAGGGTGTAGTTCTCTGTTGGGCTCTTTCAGTCTAGCTCGTGTTAGTGGTGCTACCATCTATGCAGGGTGTAACCCCAGAGAGACTTCCTGGGGGAAAGTGGAAACAGTGTGACTTTGTGGAACTCAGTGGCCCTGACAGGATCAGTGTCATATGTGACCACTGAGGGATTTGATGCACTTGGAGGGCAAATGAAGTAATACCTTTTATTCATTCACTCACTGATTCATTCATCCATTCATTTAATGCTTTATTTATTTATTTTCCAGAGAGTGAGTGGTGGGGGGTGTGGAGAGAAGGGAAGAATAGAGAGGGAGAGGGAGAGAGAGAATCCCAAGAAGTCTCCTCACTGTCAGCGCAGAGCCAGATGCAGGGGTTCAGGCCCACGAACTATGAGATCATGACCTGAGGTGAAATCGAGTCTGACACTTAACCGACTGAGCCCCCCAGGTGCCCCTGAAGTAATACCTTTTACAACTCTCTTAGAAGTGGACAGAATTATAGCAGACAGCGTGCAAGGCCCTCACGTTTTTAGTTCCACATCTTAAAATGATCTGATGCAATATTTGGAGACGGATGTTAGAAAACAGACGGTGATTGGGTTTTGCCGTGTTGCTCTTGTGAGCTGTGCTGTTACACCAGGCAGGGACACTCCCGGTGAGCATGCCGTTACTAAGCGGTGGCATCTGGCACTCAGGAAGACCAAGAGCCCTTGGGGGCAGCTGTCGCTTTGGGTCCTACAGGGGTCCCTCTAACCGGAAGCGCTCCCTCTCTCCCCAGACCCGGACGCAGAGGTGTGTCTTCACGCGATGCGGCTTGTCCAGTCTGTGGTCCTGGAGCCGGAAGTCTTCTGCAAGTCCGCCTCGGAGTTCCGGAGCTCCCTGCCCCTGCAGCGCATCCTGGCAATGGCCAAGAGCCGCAACCCCCGCCTGCAGGCCGCGGCCCGGGAGCTCCTGGAGGATCTCCGCGCCCTGGAGCCTGACGCGTAGGGGCGCGTGTCCCTCCCTCCCCCGGGCCCCCACCTTGTATTCTGGAGCCATCACCGCGCGCCGTGTGTCCTGCACGGTACACCGTGAGTGAGTCGAGAGGGACGTGAATGCATATGTATCCACACGACTTCCTCCTAGAAGCGAAAGTCCCTGCGTGAGGCTGGTGACCTTGCCACGGGCAGTCTGTGGAACAGCCCATCCTTCTAGAAAGGCCCATGTCCTGTGCCTAGAGAGGGCTACCTTAGAGCTGTTCCTGCTGCTCAGGACACTTTCTAAGACCTGTGGGCCCCCCATACAAAGGGGGGTGACCTGCCCCACTGGTCAGCATTTTCCTGGGATACATGGTTTGAAAAACAATTCATCCTCTCTCTAGTGATTATACTTTATACCCTAAAATGCAAGTTTACCTTTAAGCCTTGTGGCGAACCTGCTATTTCAGGTGACAGTGGACATTTTAGTTCTATTTTTTTTGTGTGTGCCTGTTTTATTTTTGAATAAAGAAAGCCAAAAGAGTCAATGATGTGCACACTGCTATTTCTGAAATATGGTCTCGGTATTAGAAAGTTGTATGTTACAAAGCGTACAACGCATAGACTTGGTCGGTAGGAAAAAACTCTCCTTATAATGTTGGCTGTTGGACTATAAACTCAGAAGCCTCGTTTTTCACATAAGATATCATGAAAAGGGCCTTATGGACGAGAACCCATGCAGTTGGTTGAAATCCTTTAAATGATGTACACGGCTGTGTGCCAGAGTGCCCTCTCTGTGAGGGCCCTTCTCAGAGAGCAGAGGAGACTATACCAACCCCCCCACCTCCCCCTCACAGACGCCCCGCGTGAGAGGACGCGCCATCTACAGCACCCTTACCATCACTCTGGGAAGTGCGTCCTTCCTTGTGCTGTTTCCCACACAGTGTCACTGCGGGCCTTCGGGCTCCGGGCATCCTCTCAGCGTGGCAGCCAGTGCTGGCGTCACCGACATGAATAAGCTGTCCCTGCTGTGTAGGGTTTTAGAATAACTTCATTTTCTTCTAAGTAGATTTTAGAACCAATGTGCCGTTTACAGCCGCGGCTGAAGCGAGGAGCCGGGAGAGAGGCGCTGCACTGTCTCACGAGCCGACAGATTGTGGAACACGCCGAGCTCGTCAGAGCCAGGGAGATGCTGTAAGAGGCGATTTGAAATTCTCGGATGGGGAAATGGGTCCATCTGTGCACTGTGGCTCCGCAGGTCTGATTACCCGCAGATAAGATCGAGGGTGTTGTGCGTTTGTGCTTTTCCTTGCATGGCATCATCTTTTTGGTTATTTGTTTGATAAGGTAACAGGATAAACTGGTGTAATTAGTTTGTGCTGCCTCTGGAAACGCAGGGTCTTTTCCTGCCAAAGACGGCTCTGCAGTGTATAGAGAGAGCCAGAACCGGGCCACGCACCAGTGTCATGCAGCTTAGCTAATTAGTAGATGGGTGTGATCGAGAAGGGTACGTTTTTTCCTCATGAAAACTCCTTCAGGGAGAAACATGTGACAAACGCATGTTTTGAATGTGTATCACAGGAAAAGTATTTGAAATTGAAGCGAGTTTTAAGGAATGGCTAGCCTTTCAAACATTTCTGTTCTTCATGTGAAGGTCAAGGGGAACACATGAGTTCTAACAAAGTCTCAGTTTAAAAAGTATGTGTGAGAGCATATGCCTGAGGGGCTCACTCGGTTAGACATCTGCCTCTTGATCTCAGCTCAGGTCTTGATCCCAGGTTCAAGCCCCACACTGGACTCTGTGCTGGGTGTGAAACCTACTTTAAAAAAAAGCATGTACTTGGTGGTGTTTGAAGTCTTTTATGAATTTAAAACTAGAAACAAAGGCAGTAAAATGGTACGTGTATCTTTTAATTTAGCTTTTAAAGAACCCTCTCCTGTTAAGGCGAAGAACTCTTTCTTTTCCCCTTGGTGCTGTCAACTTTTCTGTAAAAGTGTCAGCCTGCCAGGCTCGCAGCCAGACCTCGCCCCTGCCCCTCCTCCCCCCCCCGCCCCGCCTGGGTGCCCAGAGCAGCCCTCATGCCCACGGGCCTGAGAGGTCCTGGCTGGGACGCAGACGGTACCGCAGCTCGGAGGAAGGTGCTTCATCGCCGGGTCTGCCCACGGCGCAGCGTGCGGTAAGGAGTCTGCGTCCTGGGTGTATGTGTGCCGCTGTGCCTTTCACTTATTCAGGGGTTAAAGTTAATTGGGGCGCCAAGCAGAGCATCACAGGTCAGGGGCTTGAAGGAAACCAGCACGAGGCAAGCAGGCCGACCGGGGCATGCAGGGGTTTCCCGGAGAGCCGTAAATCTGCCCGTCGCCCTGTCTCTGCCAGACCTGCTGTTAGCTCTACTGCCAGACGTTAGTGTGAATGGAGAGCGTTGATAATACTTTGTAGACTTACTAGCTTCCTGAGCGCCCTGAAGACAGAGTCTGCTCTGTCGTCTCCCGGGACGCAGATCTGACCACCCAAGCAGGCCTCCACTGGCCGGAGTAGGGTCTGGGCGTGGGCCTGGGGGTGGCGCAGACAGCCTGGGACGCGGCACCCCGGAGGGAGTGGGCATGCTCAGAAGGCGGAGTGACGAGCTGGGTACAGAGTCTCTGATAGTGTCCCAGCCCAGGCTCAGGCGGAGAGGCCGAGAGGCCACCAGTGCGCCCGCGTCTTCCCAGGACTTGTTTCCAGGGCTCACCAACGCCCTCAGCTAGGAGAGCGCACACCTTTAAAATCCTCTCCACGTGTAGAATGAGGAGTCCTTTGTGCTAGTACCTGTTACAGAATGAAGACTTGTCCTTTTTTATTCGTAATTCTTTAAGTGTTAATTGTGGCAGAATTTACCACATAGAAATGATAAGCATAAAATTACCATTTTAACCGTTTTTAAGTGCAGAATTCGGTGGCATCAGTATATTCACAATGTTGTGTAACCATCTCCACTCTCTATTTCCAGAATCTTTTATCACATCGAACTGAAACTCTGTCCCCATTAAGCAAGGTCTCCTTATTCCCTGAGTGTCCTCTTCCCAGCCCCTGGCCCCCCTGCCCCACAGCTGACTCTGAGTTTGACCGCGTCCTCATGTAAGTGGAACCCTAGAATGCTGTCCGCCCGGGCCCAGCTTATCTCACTCTAGCGTAATGTCTGCAGGGTTCAGCCGTGTTGCGTCACATGACTGAATTTCGTTCCTTTTTGTGGCTAAATAATACCCCATTGTATCCGCGTACATGCATAGCCTAGACACACTGGAGGCGCGGCTCCAGACGCCCGCAGCAAAGCGGGTGTGGCAATAAAGTGTCTGACGTTTTGGTTTCCCGGTGCATGTAAAGGTTGTGTTTTCACTACACTGTAGTCTGTTACGTGTCCGGTAGCGCCGTGTCTAAGAACCACAGTGTACGTACCTTAATTAAAAAATACTTTAGTCATAAAAAAATGCTAACCATTGTCTGAGCTTTCAGGAAGTTGTGATCCTTTTGCTGGTGGAGCGTCTTGCCTCTACGTTGGTGGCTGCTGAAGCCTGGGGTGTCCGTGGCAGCCTCTCACAACAGTCATGAACTTTGCCACGTCCATTGACTCTTCCCTTCATGAACGATTTCTCTGTGGTTTGTGGTGCTGTTTGATAGCATTCTACCCACGGTAGAACCTCTCATGCCCTGTTGCTGCTCTTTCAGCAAATTGTATGGGATATTCCAGATCCTTGTGTCATTTCAGTAGACTTCACAGCACCGTCACCGGTGGCAGGTCCCAACTCAGGAAACCGCCTTCTTTGCTCCTCCTTAAGGAGCAGCTCCTCATCTGTCCAGGCTTTTCCTGAGACGCAGCTGCTCAGCCCTGTCTTCAGGCTCCGCCTCTGCTTCTGGCCCTCCTGCTGTCTCCGCCGCATCTGCGGGGACTTCCTCCACGGACGTCTTCAGCCCTCCGAAGTCCTGCGTGCGGGCTGGAGTCCACTTCTTCCAGACTCCTGCTCATGCCCTCTTCCCACGAGTCTCAAATGTTCCTAATAGCATCTAGAATGGTGAATTCTTTCCAGAAGGTTTTCAGTTGATTTACCCAGATCCATCAGACAAATCACTGTCCATGGCAGCCAAACCTTACAAAATGTATTTCTTCAATAATAAGACTAGAAAGTTAAAATGGCTTCTCAATCCGTAGGCTGCAGAATGGATGTGTGAGCTGACCTGAAAACAACATTGATCTCCTCTTTCATCTCCTTCAGAGCTCTTGGGTGGTCAGGGGCACCATCAGTGAATGGTCGTATTTTGAAAGGAATAGTTCTTTCTGAGCAGTAGGTCTCCTGCGATGGGCTTAATATATTCAGTAAACCATGTTGTAAACAGACATGCTGTCGTCTAGGCTTTGTGCCCTTTATAGAGCACGGCAGAGTGGAGTCTGGTAGCATAACTGCTGAGGGCCCTAGGATCTTCAGAATGGTCAGCGAGCACTGGTTTCAGATGGAGTTCACCAGCTGCGTTAGCCCCTGACAGAAGAGTGGGGCTGTCTCTGTAGCTTTGAAGCCAGGCACCGACTCCCCTCCAGCCATGAAAGTCCTAGATGGCACGTTCTTCCAATAGAAGCCTATTTCTTGTACACTGAAAATCTGGTTTCGTGTAGACACCCTCGTGAGATCTTCCGGAGAATGTGCGGCAGCCTCCACATCGGCGCATGCTGCCTCTCCGCACACTCTTCTGTTATGGAGACAATATCTTTGCATCACCCTCCCGGACCAACCCCTGCAAGCTTCCAACTTCCCTTCCACAGCCTCCCTGCCTCTCCCAGCCTCCCCAGGGTGGGGAGCTGGGGTCTTGTTCCATACGGGGCTGGGTTAAGGGGGTGTTGGGGCTGGTTTGACCTTCTATCCAGACCACTGAAACTTTCTCCATATCAGCAATCAGGCTGTTGCACTTTCTTATCCTCTGTGTGTTCACTGCAGTAACACTTTTAAAAACGCCCTTTAAGAACTTTTTCTTTGCATTTGCCATTTGGCTGCTGGGTGCACGAGGCCAAGATTTTGGCCTGTCAGCTTTCGAGGCCTTCCTTACTAAGCTTCGTCATTTCTAGCTTCTGAGTCATAGTGAGAGACGTGATTCTTCCATCACGTGGACACTTGAGGCTTTGTTGGTCTGCTGATGGGCCTAATGTCAATATTATTGTGTCTCAGGGAACGGGGAGGCCTGAGGGGAGAGGGAGAGTTAAGTTACCAGTGAGGTTGGTCATCTCCTATAGGTGCGGTTCAGGGCACCCAAACATGTACAACAGTAACGTCACAGATCACCATAACAAATGTAGGAATAATAAAGAAGTTTGGAATATTGTGAGAATAAAACATGATACAGGGATAGTAAATGAGCAAATGCTGTTGGAAAAATGGTGCTGACAGGGGCGCCTGGGTGTCTTAGTCGGTTAAGCGTCCGACTTTCGCTTAGGTCATGATCTCACGGTTCGTGGGTTCGAGCCCCGCGTCGGGCTCTGTGCTGACTGCCAGCTCAGAGCCTGGAGCCTGTTTCAGTCTGTGACTC